AAGAAAGAAAGAAAGAAAGAAAGAAAGAAAGAAAGAAAGAAAGAAAGAAAGAAAGAAAGAAAGAAAGAAAGAAAGAAAGAAAGAGAAAGAAAGATGGGCTTTGGCACACCAGCCTGTGACCATTGCAGACACCGTGTAATTTCCCAAGTGCAATCCAGCCAGCTCCCTTCCTCCTAATCAAATCTGAGCTCAGCTCATTGCCATCTGCATTGAGTTTTCCTTCGTTTCTCTTTTCTGACTAGAAGAGACTTCAATGAGCATTAAAATGGCCAAAGAAGAGAACAAAAATAAGGCAGAAACTAGGTAATCCACCATGGAAGAGGAATTAGGAATGAAATGGGACTTTGTAGATTATATAAGGTGTTGTTACATGTTTATGGGTGAGGAGACAACCCTAGAAAAGCATTGACCGTCTAAAAATTATACTTCCTGGTATTTATAAAGCCCTTCACCTACGTTGGCATCAGATCTTCCCAAGAGCCCTGAGGTAGGTTCTATTATCTCCACTTTACAGATGAGGAAACCAAGGCAAACAGAGGTTAAGTGACATGTCTAGTGTCTGAGGTTGGATTTGAACTCAAGTCTTCCTGACTCCAAGTTCAGCGCTCTATCCACTGTGCCTTCCAGCTGCCACACACAGAGGGACTAATTCAATGTACCATCCATTTAGCTACAAGTCAGAACCTAAGCATTGTATGTCCTTCACGTGGTGCACACGTTTCTCTTTCTACAAGTCCAATTAAGAGTTCTGCCAGATTTGTTCATGGAAAGATTACCCAACCAGAAGTGTTGATTTCAGCTGTGTGACACTGGGCAAGTCACTCAACATCTCTGGGTTTCAGTTTCCTCATCTATAAAAATATATCAGCACTTTATATAATCTATACGGCCTCTTCCTGTTCAAAAAGTCAGTTCTGAAGCAGATTGTCTAGTTTGTGAATTTTCCCTGGTTTTTCCCTTTGGCTGTTTCATTGCTTATTAGAACTGAGACATTTAGGGTGCTGGACCTACCTAGAGTCTCAAATCCAGCTTCAGACACTTGTTAGCTCTGTGACTCTGGACAAATCCCTTAACCTCAGTTTCCTTATCTGTAAAATGAGAATAATAGCACGTACCTCCCACTGTTGTGGTGAGGATAAATGAGATGATATTTGCAAAACACTCTGCAGATCTTTGGCTTTAGTGCTATATAAATGCTAACTATTACTATTGTTATTATTTGCACCATTATGGAAAGGAAGTAAGAAATTGAAAGACATCAGGCTAAAAAAATTATTATAGAAGGAAAATGAGATGGAAACAATTTGTCATTGTGAATTATTTTGGTTAGTTACCAGGGCTTATCAGGAACAATTCTGATTCCCTCCTGTTAGTTTCTGTCATCCCGGGAATTCAGAACTCTCTGAAGACATCATGCCTTCCACTATGCCTCTTCCAAGGAAAGGAGGTGCCTGGGAGTGTCAGCCAGGCTTTTAAAATGTGCAAATCAAGACAGCGGCAGGAAGAAAGCATGTTATATGCTGTAAATGCTCTTAAAATGTGGACAATCAGAATTGGTATTATTAATAATATGCTGTATTATATATTGATTATACAGATATATTATAATGATAATTATGATTATGGGTTGCATTACTATTAGTAATTTAAGAGTGGTAACAGGAGCAAAAACCCAGCTCACAATAGTTAGAAATATCTTATTTTGAAGGAAACACCTCTTAATCTTTGTTGAAGGACTAGGCAGGAGTCGGAGGAGGAGGAGCTAGCATTTCTACAGCAAAGGGCTTCACAAAAAGCTCACTTTATCATTAGATTCTAAGCTCCTTGAGGGCAGGGATTGTCTTTTGCTTCTTTTTTGTATCCCTGGTGCTTAGCACGGGGCCTGGCACATAAATGGTTATTGATTGGGAGGTAGGTATTATTATTGCCTCTGTTTTACAGATGAGGAAACTGAGGCAAACAGAGGTTAAAGTGACTAGCCCAGTTTCTGAGGCTGGATTTAAGCTCAGGTCTTCCTGATTTCAGGTCCAGAATTCTATCTACTTTGCCACCAGCTACTGAAGCCTATGGACCCCTTTCTCAGATTAATGTTTTTGAATGCATAAAATAAAATGCATAGCATTGCAAAGAAACCAACTAGGTTAAAATAAAGATATGATCTCTTCCCCCCCAGTTGCACAGACCCCATGAAATCAATCCATGGTCTACTGATGCCCGATTAAGACTCCCTGAATTCTAGACTCCCTCCCGACTTTATGGCTATAGGGGCAGAGGCCGAGAGTGACTTGCCCACTATCACACAGTCAACTTTTGGCAGAGCCGGGCCTAGAATCCGGGTCCTTGAACCCCCCATGTCTCTTTTCTTTCCACCTAGCCATCCCGTCCCCACCTCCCATGCTTCTTCTGACTCCCTGACTTCTGAGCATCCTACGAATGGCACAGAGGCAGGACCCTCAGATTCACAAAGGCCGTTCCTCAGCAAGTCCCCAAGTCAATGTCAGCCAGCATCACCATTCTCCCAGGAAAGCCAGCCCCCTCCCTCCCCTCCTGCTCCTGGCGAAACCCGGGGGCCCTCGGCTTTTTAGGGCTTGGTGGCTGAGAACACGGTGCTTTCTTTGGCCGCCCTGCTGACGGGTCTGGGGCTCTTGGAGCCGGATGGAGACTCCACCCTCACACCTACAAGCAGCGCTGCACCTTCGGGAGGCCCCAGAAATCCTGCCCAGGCCAAAAAGACCTGCTTGGGAAAGAAGCCCTGCATCTTTAAGGCCGTACCTCAAAAGCGTTCGTGCCCGGCTGGCTGGCCCTGCCCCAGCTTTTCCCTGGCTGCCTCTCAGGCTCCTACATAGGAAACAGGCAGTAAAGGTGGGTTGGCATCCCCGCTGTCTGTGCCCCTCCACTCCCCTGTCCTTCTCCTTAGCAGCACAGAAGGAAGATAAGGCAGCTCGAGGTGGGGGCTTGGAGAGAAGGCCTCGAGGAGGCTTGTCTGTCATTTCCTCCATACTGTGCGCACTACCCAAGCTCCTCTTAAACCTGTGCTGTCCTTGCTATGTGACCTAGTCCACTTGGACCATCAGACTCATCTTGACGTGCCATGTACACCATTCCAGGCTGTTCACAGGGGAAAATTCAGATAACAAATGTGGACAATGTAGACCCCGGTCCACCCCGAGAGAGGGGGCCCCCGAGCCAGCCCCAGGCACACACGGGGTGGGGAAGCAGTCCACTGGCCCTGGAGGGAGAAAGGGGTCGGGGGCTCTTGCTTCTCTTAGGACAAGGGGACGGGGAGCCTTACAGACAGTTCAGAACAGGGAAAGGGGAGACTCACAATATTACCAGAGTGAAAAACAGGAATCTTTTTTTTTCTGTTGCACCAGAACTATGAATCATAGAGTAGGTGTAGACCTACATCTGAAGAGGGAATTTCATTGGCACAGAAAATTCCTACTCCCAATGCAGGTTAGCATCTACTATGCAATTTTCAGTCTTAAAGATCTGCCTGTGGGGCAGCTAGGTGGCACAGTGGATAGAGCTCCAGCTTTGGAGTCAGGAAGACCTGAGTTCAAATCCGATCTCAGACACTTGACACCGGCTGTGTGAACCTGGGCAAGTCACTTAACCCCAGTTGCCTCACCAAAATAAATAAATAAATAAATAAAAATAAAAGATGGCCCCCAAAACTGAACACTGTACTCCATATGAGCTCAGATGAGAAGTACAGGGAGACTATCACCTCTGCACTCCTGAAGCCAGGCCCAAGATGATTCCATTCTCCATTTTTGACAGCTTCATCGCATTGCCTTGTGGTCCACTAAGAACCCCAGATCTTTTTTCATGGGATCATTGCATTAGAGCTGGAAGAAGCCTCAGAAGCAAGCCACTGAGTCCAACCTCCTCATTTTACAGATGAGGAGACTGAGGCTTAGAGAACCTAAGTGACTTACCCAGGATCACACAGTTACTGAATGACTCTGAGGCAGAATTTAAACTCAGGTCTTCTTGGTACTAAAAGTCTATCCGCTATTCCTCTAGCTAGACAAAATGCTAATCATTCAGCCCACTCAGACTGATCTGGAGATTCATACCTAGCAACCAGAAGGGGGGGCTCTGAGTGTCCTAAGCAGGGGACCACCCTCCTTGTAACAGCCATTGTATTCCTGTCTGCTCCTATGGGGTCCTATCTCAGTCAGAATCAGAAGGGACCTACGTCTCAGGCCAGAAACTCCCGCGTGTTTTGTGATGCCCCGCAGCGGCGGCTGGGCTTGGCCAGCCTTCTGTGTGACCACCTCTGCCCTGGCGCGGCACAGGGTGCTGCACCCAGGGCCAGCATGCCTGGTTTTAGCTCTCCCTAGGCTTATTCTACAGACCTGAGGTCCAGAGAAGTGAATGACTTGCCCACAGTCACACAGTGAGTTAAAATTCCTTTTGTCACTGAATGCCGAGCCTGGTTTTGAACAGCGGACTTGTGAGCCTGCATGCAGGGCTCCGTGCGTGACACCCCGTCCGACGGTCCCCCCCTGCACCCCAGCAACCCCCCCCCTTCCCTAGACCCTTAAACCATACCATGCTTCAGCAGATCAGCTGCCTGGCCGGTGACTCCTCTTCTCCCTCTGCAGCTGCTCGGGCTCATCCCCAGAAGGTGGGATGGGCTTGAGGGGCCCTAGGAGGCAGACAGCCCAGCTCACACCCGGAGGGTCAGCCTCAGTCTGTCAGGACAGCCCCTGAACATGCCTCTTCAACAAGTTTGCTTTTGAAATAAAAAATCTCTCCCTGCCTGTTTACCACCAAGAGGCTCCCAGGGACCTGGGGCAGCCTGGAGCTCGGGCTACCAAGCAATGTGGCCCTTGCTTATTCTCCCAGGTGGTCCTGAGGCACCTGGAAGTCCTCCCAGGGCCCCCTGCAGCCAGCTGGCTCCCCAAGGAGTCTGCTCCAGGTCCCGTGGGTGCTCCTGAGTGAGCGTTTGTGAGTGTGTGTGTGTGTGTGTGTGTGTGCTTCTGAGTGTCTGAGTGCGTGTGTGAATGAGTGCATGTGTGAATGAGTGTGTGCGTGTGCCTGAGTGCTTTTGCAATAAGTTCTAAGTGCACCTGAGAGTGGGTGTCTGAACGTGCTCCTCAGTGCAAACACATAATGCCTTAGCATGTGTGCATAAGTGTGTGCACCTGGCTGGGTGTGAGTGTGTCTAAAGACGTGCGTGCATCTCAGAGTGCAGTCTGAGTGTGCCTAGATGTGCCAATGCACAAAGTACATGTCCCTGCTCCCACCAAGCCTGGGGAGCGAGCTTCACCGGGCTGTTGCTCGATCTGTCTGCTGCAGGCTGGGCTGCGTTGTGCTGGGCTGGCCAGTTCTAGGCTGGGCAGCGCTGGGTAGGGCAGTTCAAGGATTGGCAGCGCTGGGCAGGACAGTTCAAGGCTGGGCAGTGCTGGGCAGCCCTGGGCAGGGCAGTTCAAGGCTGGGCAGCTCTGGACTGGACAGTGCTGGGGCGGGCGGCTCAGCTGAAGCCGAGGGAGCGGCAGAGGAGTTTCCAGCTGCGCCGAATGATTTTAAAAGTCCTAAAACGGCCAGTGCAGCCCCACACTTGGCAGCGGACGGGAGGGAGGGGACAAGGGGAAGGGAGGCAGGGCGGGGAGGAGCAGCCCCTGCCATTGACTTGGGTTCCCTTCACAATAAAAGCCTTGCCTGTACTACCAGACTCCAAGAGCCCCCAGTCCAGGTGAGAGCCTGAAGGCTGACCCAGGTCTCAACTCAGAGGACAGGAGAAGCCAATGCCACCACCCCTCTATCCTCCCCTCCCCACTGGCTCTGAAGTCGGGGGTGGAACCTGAGACATGTCACTTTCCTTCTCCGGGCCTCAGTTTCCTCATCTGTAAAGTGAAGAGGGGGTTCACTAGACAACTTCTATAGAGCACCTACTATGTGCCAGGAACTGTACTAAGCACTTTACAAATATCTATTTGATCTTCAAAAAAACCCTGGGAGGCAGGTGTTGTTGTTATTCCCATTATACAGTTGAGGAAACTGAGGCAGATAGGTTAAGTGAATTGCCCAGGATTAGACAAGTACAAAGTATCTGAGACCAGATTGAACTCAGGTCGGATTGACTCCATTGTGCTGCCCAGCTGCTTCTCAATCCGTGATGCTACAGGGAGGAGGTGGGGGAGTCCTGGAAAGTATCAGAGGAGAAAAGATAACGTTGGTAGCATTAGCAGATGCAGCAGGGTAGAAAGGGACGAGTGCCGAGTTTTCAGTCAGTGAAGCTGGCGTTTGACGCTAACTAGTTGTGTCAACTTAGGTAAGCACCTTTTCTTTATAGATCTAATGTGGAAAAGACTTTAAAAATCAGCCACTTTACTTTACAGATAAGGAAATTGATTCCTATAGAGGGGGAGTGACTTGTCCAAGGTCACACAGCTAGTAAGTGATAGAGATGGGATGATTTCAGGTGATAGGGTCACAGGTATAGCCCTATTCCATTACTTTATAAAGAAGTTAAGTGACTTGCCCAAGGTCACACAGATAAGTAAGATAAAATGGCATGTGTGAGAAAGAGCTCTGGATTTGGAGCCAGAGGACCTGAGTTCAAATCTTTTTCCTGCTACTTTACTACCTGTCACCTTAGAAAAGTCACTTAACTGTTCTGGGCCTCAGTTTCCCCATCTGTAAAATGAGGAAGTTGGACTAGAGGACCTCTAAGGGATGTCTCTTCCAGTTCTAAATCTGCGGTCCGAAGGAGGCTTGTTCGGCTGGACCATCGAGTGCACGAAGGGAGTAAAGTGTAACAAGCCCGGAGTTCCGTGGAAGGGAAATCTCTTTGACTGTTTCAGCCTAATGAGTCCATTATGATGGGTTTTTTCTTTTTAGTTTTTCTCTTTTAAATAAAATAATCCAAGGCAGTGGCTGGGAATTTTCCTTTTTTGGTGTTAATTGAATTGAAGAATCTCAGCCCTGGTCATTCCTCAGAAGCCGTCATGGCCCTTCACAGACATTAGCTCATTCATCCAGGCCTGGGCCGCAGAGGCCCTGGCCCAGAGTCATGGTTAACGCTTGTAGAGCTCTGATGCTTTCTTTACAGCAGCCCTGGGAGGCAGGCCAGATTAAGCATCATTATCTCCATTATACAGACGAGGAAACTGAGGCTCAGAGACCATAATGGACTTTGTTGTTCAGTCTTTTCAGTCGTGTCCAACTCTTCCTGATCCCATTTGGGGTTTCCTTGGCAGAGATACTGGAGTGGTTTGTCATTTCCTTCTCCAGCTCATTTTGCAGATGAGGAAACTGAGGCAAACAGGGTTAAATGACTTGCCCAGGGTCACCCAGCTAGTAAGAGTCTGAGTCTGGATTTGAACTCAGGTCTTCCTGACTCCAGACCTGGTGCTCTATCCACCAAGCTACCTCCAGCCAGGACCCAAAAGCACATTTCTACTGCAAGTTGCCTTTTAGAATTATGCAGGTGGGGAAACCAAGGTATGGAAAGGTGAAGTCTCCAGTTTAGTGGCACAGCTCAGCACAGAAAGGGGAAATACAAACACAGCCTCCACAGGGGAGCCCAGTGAGAAGGGTGCTAGATTTGGAGTCAGATTTCCAGGATGCTCATCCTGGTTCTGTTTTACATGCTAAATGCATGACCTTGGGCCAGTCACTTAATTCTGATAGGCCTCAGTGTCCCCATCTGCAAAGTGATAGGACTGGACTTTGTGGGGCCATGGGTCCCTGGCAGTCCTAAATCAATGGTTCTAATATTCTGTAGTCCAAAACAAGCCTTGCCTCTCCTTGTCTGAAGGGCCAGCTCAAGGGGTCGTAGGGTCATAGATTTAAGGCTGGAATTGACCTGGGAAGCCCTTCCATTTTATGAGCCTGGCAGTCATAGGTGGTCAGTGTCAAAGACAGGGTTCCAACTTCAGTCCTCTCCCTCCAGATCCAGTGGACCTTTCACTGACCCCTCCCCTGCTCATTCCCATTATTTCCAGGCTACGATGGGGCTGTACGATCTACAATTGCTCTAGCAGGGCTACCATTCCGCCACCCTCATTTTAGAATTCACAGAACTCAGATTGAGTCTACCAAATGCCAACCAACTCAGTGAAAAGAAGGAAATAAAATCGGCTAAACAAGTTTTGACCGTCATCATTTCATACTTCCAGGATGCTCTGAGGGGAGAAAACATGGCCTAGGACACCAGAGCATTTCTGCATGACTGAAGGGGTGCCCGGGGGTGGTTATTGCCCGCTGCAAAGGATGAGGCTGGACAGGAGAAGAAAGTCACTCTGGGATGAGGCCGCACCAGGTAGAAGAAGGGTGTCGCTGGGTGATGCTGTCAGCACCTTCTAAATTTTCCACCCGGGGCTAAGCCCTGATGGGTTCAGCCAAGTGACAGCTCTATAGTTTACAATCCTTCTTCGATTTAACAGTAGATAGTTTCCAGAGTGTGATTGAAAAATTCATTAGCTCGAAGCCAATCTGGTGATGGCTGCTCGGAATTTAGCTAAGCTGATCTGCAGGTGACAGCTAGACAGCCCTGTTCCAGGCCCATAGATGAAGGCATTCCAGCTTGGTGGGGCCAACACAGTTTATGTTCCATCGGAAGGGGCTTCAAGAACCTAGGGTCACCTCAACACCACAACAGGGACTGAAAATGGATTTTAGTGGAAGTTTGAAAATTGGGTTGATTTTAAGAAACAAAACAGTTGTTTGGATTAAACTTTGTTCTGGGCTCAGTTCCATTAGACCAGAAGGGCCAGCCTGCGCAAGGCCCAGGATGTTCAGTAACATGGTTAAGGTTGGACAACAAGCTAACGACCAAAATGAACAGACGCTGGTCCAGGCATTTCCAGCCAGTCCTGAGGAGGAGCAGAAAGGCAAGTGAAGATATTGCAGAATCAGATTCTGGTAGACCAGACTTAGCTGTGTCAGCAGCAAAAGGCTAGGGGTGAGAAGTCTCATTGTTTAAGGAGTGTCATTATGTCATTTCAGTCACATCCAACACTTTGTAACCCCATCTGGGGTTTTCTTGGCACAGACACTGGAGTGATTTGCCATTTCCTTCTCCAGTTCATTTTACAGATGAGGAAACTGAAGCAAATGGTTAAATGACTTGCCCAGGATCACACAGCTAATGTCTAAGGCCAGATTTGAACTCAGGTCTTCACGACTTCAGGCCCGACGCTCTACCCACTGCACCAACTAGCTGCCCATTTAAGAAGTAAAGCCGATCAATGTACCAGCACTAGGAGAGCTCTCTAAGGTCCTTTCCAACACGAGCGCCTAGGATGCCAAGTTCGATGGGCGTTTTCCCCCAACTGTGCTTCTAAATGGTGTCAGCATTTCCCCACATAGTCTTAGGACTCATGTTTTTCAGAGTTTTGATTTCCCCATGCTGGTGACGGAGGGAAGGAGCTTGGGGTCTGGAAAGGGTCCATTTTAAGAGATGTTGCAACAGCTTTAATTCTTGTTGGGGAAGAGAAGCGTGCATAAATCCTAGACCCAGTGACCAAGCCCATGCCTGGAATGTCTGCCTGCCCCATCTCTGCTTCTTGGAACCCCCAGCTCTCTTCAAGGCCCAGCTCAGTTACCACCTCCTACAGGAAGCCTTTCCTGATCTCCCACCTAATGATACTTTTTGAGCAGAAAGGGGCCTTAGAGCTTATGGAGTCTGGTCTCCACATTTTACAAAGGCCTAGAGAAGCGATTTGCCCAGGGTCACACAGCTAGAAAGACTGAGGAGAGATCTGAACCCAGGTCTTCTTCATTCTGGGTCCAGTGCTGTATCCACTACCCTACACTACCTCTGTGGAAGTGGACTAAAGCCATTCCTGAAGAATCCAATTATTTATCAAATTATTATTATATGTATTTATTAATGCATTTATCAAGCCCCCTACTCTGTGTTAGGTACTTCACTAGGGAATGGGGATACAAAAACAAGAATGGAAATACAAAACTTTTTAAAACACTTCCTGCCCTCAAGGAGCATACATTCTACTGGGTGGGGGTGAGGCACAACCAATACACAAGTAAGTAAACGCAAAGTAATTTCAGAAGGGAGAGAATGTTAATAACAGAGGAGATCAGAAAGAGTGTAACGTAGGACGCAGGACCCGAGTTAAGCTTTGAAGGAAGCTAGGAGTTCTCTAAGGTGGAGAAGGAGGAAGGGGTGGGGGGAGCAGGGGGAGAGTCTGGGCAGAGGTGACGATGTGTCGTGCATGGGAAACAGCTACCTGGACAGTTTGATTAGAGCACAGAGTCCAGCAATGGGAAGAGGATGAAGCAAATCTGCAAAGGCAGGTGAGAGTCCAGTGGGGAAGGCT